GATACACTTAGGATCATTGAACTCTACAAAAATAAAAAAAATCATGTAACAAAATAAACAAATATATTCTTAAAGAGGTTTTTTGAGCTAGGTGAAGTAACATTTTTATTTGATGTTGGTGATTGTATATTCATTAGATGGTGAAGTTGAAGTCTATATTCATTAATAGTATTATTATGAGTTTCTGCATTAGCAAAAGATATTTTTTTTAGCCGGGGGTCTAAAAATGTTGTGAGAAGGCAAATTTGTGATGGGTGATCCCAATATTCAAAAAGTGAGTTATATATGATATTTGTTATGTCTTTTACAATTAATTCAGTGTCATTTTCAGTCTGATTTTCTTGAATATCAAAGGATATGTCACTTTCATTTTCATCATCTGATGACTCAGACTCTGAATCAAAATTAAATATTTCTTGGAGAACTAAAGTAATTAATATTAAATGTATAGTACTCAATAAGTATTTATTGGGTATAATTAAAAAAAATTGGTATATCAAATTGGTTTTTGGTTTTTTATCTTTTTCTAATTTTTTTTTTTTTCTTAAATACATTTCATAATTTTAACCACTGATATTAAAATTTTATACCTTCATTATTATAGTCATATTCATCAGGATCTATATTTTTGGCATAATGAGCTTTTATTGTCTCTATTACTGGATGAATATATGCTATAGTAGGATATTGCCTAGCACTAAAATATTCGGTAGCACTATTGAAAGGTTCATATCTCAATTAACTTTTTAACAAGATCCTACTCATTATCTTGCAGCATCAATTTACTTAATTTTTAATCATCTTTTTTTGCATCTGGATCATCTTCAACAGGTAACATTACTGAAAGCCGTCTGATTGCAGGGCGCAGTTCAATTAACCTTTTCCATGATCAAAATTTGGAATTCCAATGGGTTGGTATATTTTTAATAATTCGTAATGTAGGTATAAACTTATTAATAATTAATTTATTATTGTCTATTATTTCATTATCCTCCTCATCTTCAAAATCAATATAACTTCAGATTCATCAGATAAAATTAGAATATTATAAGACATTTCTTTCTGTTTATTTTTTTGTGTTTCAATTTGTACAGTGTCTAATCTCTGACTTTGTTTAGGTGAATCAAAAAATTTGACCAAATTTTGTATGCGGATAATTTGTTGATACTTTGTCTTAAACACACGATTAATTAATAATTGTAAAGTATGGGCCGTGCATGGCAATCTTTTTACACTCTCCCAATTTCTTATAGCCCTTACAATATTACTACCATTATCAGTAACTACACAAAAAATTTTATTTTGCAAATTAAATTCTTGAACTTTACTAATAAGAAATTCTCTAATAGAGTGACCAGTGTGGGGGTACGGCATTGACTCTAAGCAAAGTAGGATTTCATTTAATTCAAACTTGTTGCTTAACCAATGAGCTGTTATTCCAATGTATCCTGTTTTATTTCTTGCTGTCCAAAGGTCAGTTGTTAGAGAAATTGTTTCACTACTTTGTGCTACAAGATCATTGATTTGGTTCTTTGCAGTTACATTTGCAATGGCTATTTCTTTTTTTAATGTCTTATAAGAAGGCCGACGAAAGGCAGAGTCTACTTGCAACATAAATCTATGAAACCCTTCCCCAGTGATAACTTCAAATGCTCGATTGTTAATCACAAGCCATTCTGCAATATTACGACAAATATTAAGTTTTTTAACTCCTTTGTGAGGAACGACACGCTGTAGCATACTGGTGATAGTTTGCTAGGAACCTTTTGTATTACTCTAAAATCAATGACCAAATTTAATGAATATATTTTTTATTAGATAAGTGTCATCAAGGGAAAACTCACATTCTGGCTTTCAATTATGTTTTGTGTCTAAAACTTTGATCAAAGTTATTTCGATGATTACTACACCAAATTCGATGAAAATTTTTTATTCGAATTCTACAAAGATGTAGAATTCGAATAAAAAATTTTCATCGAATTTGGTGCAATAGTCGTCGAGATAATTTTGATCAAAGTTTTAAACAAGCTCAAAATAAAAATATAAAGTTGATTATTTACCAGGTTTTTTTGAATTTCCACTATGTCATGTTCATCTGCAAGATGTGAATTCATGTTGGTTGTTGACCATCCGGAAAGATATTTAAATCTTTTTGCGCATTTTTTTTCTTTTCTATCTATTTTAATTATAACATCGCATACTGATTCTTCTCCTTCTATTTTAAAATATTTTCAGCATGGTGCAACTTGTCTAGTTGCTTTATGACAGTGCTTGTGGCTTTTGAAATGGATTGAAAACCTTTGATCTGGGGATCTTCTTCTAACACATCATCAACTTCAAATGAATTTTCAGCTTGTGAAGCTTCTCCAGATTCAATACCCGACATTGTTATATCTTTTAAATTAAGGTATATCTTTAGGAATAAAATTATCAAGTAAAAAAAAAAGCATGAAGGAATTTTAAATTTCAATTTATAGCTATTTTGACCTGATTTATTGATTATATTGTCTTTGATATTAAATCAGGTCTATAGCTTATTTTGAATATCAATATCGTATTGAACTCCGATTTAGGTGCTGTACATATGTATACACTGATATGCTCTTTTTTTTCAAAAAGATATTTATATTTGAAAAGAGACCACCTATCAGACAGTGATATTGGCATTTAAAGATTGTGTTCTTTGTCTCCGCCTGGTGTAAGTATTGTAACAATTAAAACAATAAGTTCCAGTTTTGGATTGTGGCTTAAATTTATTTACCTAAGTTATTTGTTTTTAAGCTATAGGCTTATAATTATTAAGTAGAAGCTTTTAAAATGGGTCCTTTGTAGACATGTACAGTTAGTATACTTTCAAAATCCCGAAAGTATAATATTCTGAAAGAATAACCCTGAAAAATATAAAAGTTGATATTACATAATTATGGAACTCAAATACTGTATTTGTGCAAATAACACTCATGGGCATTATTTCGAGACACAAGCTTGAGGTGAGCTATTAACCGAATGTAAATCATAATTCTTTACTAAAAATTTTTGGTTAAATTAATTATTAGGCCATCTCAAACTTGGGTCTTGAAATAATGCCCGTGGGTATTATTTTGTGCAAATATGGTACTGGAATTTATTAAGGGGTATCATTAAAAGTGATTTATGCAAGGTTATTTAAGACCATTAATGCATGATTTATGTAAGGTTACTAATTTTTCTTGAAGATCACTTACCATACAGTGATATCAGCATTTAAAGATTGTGTTCTTTGCTTGTTTTGAATCAGCTCCGCATGTTCTCAGTATTTTGACAAAATGAATTTACAACTTACTAAATTTAATGTATATGATTTTTGTTAATGCATGTGATTTTCATTCAAACATTATTAACAAAATCCATATTACAAAAACTAACAATAAGTTTTAGTTTAGTTTGGCTTTTAAATTTACTTAATTTATTTTTAAACTACAGGCTTATGATGATTAAGTCATATGCTTTAGAATGGTTCTTTTGTACATGCATAGTTAGGTATACTTTTTTTGAAATATTGCGACTATGTAGTTATCAAGTACTGGAATTTATTATGCAGAGTCGCTATTAAAAAGTTTGGTTTATGCAAGATTACTAATTTTCCTCAAAGAAGTGATTTATACAGGGTTGCTATTTCCCCAAAGAAGTGATTTACACAAGGTTATTTAGGCCATTACTACTATGATTATTTAATAAAATGAGTGATGTGCATATATGTACATATATGTTCCTTTGCATGATAAGCGATACCGAAAAAGGATCTATATTATTTCACTGACAATCACTACATTTCACCAACAGGTTCATTTTACTGACAGTCTATTTCACCAAAGCTTATTTATCAACAAGTTTTTTTTTATAAATTACATTAACTTTAATTCTAATGATATTGACTAGAATTACTTTGTCTGTAAAATGAGCTTCAGTGAAATGAACTTGTCAGTAAGTAATTGTTAGTGAAATGTGGTATCTACAAAGTGATTGTTGGTGAGTTGATCAGATCCCTGAAAAAAAGCCAGAATTCAATATTATAAAATTTGTCTGTTTGATCTAATTTGCACATATATACATATTATATATTTCGGCTCACTTTAACTGGTGATTTACTCCATTTAGAGGGTTTATTAATAATAAGACTTATGTCAAAATATTACCAGAAACTTTGTTATTAGTGCACAAAAAGGTGATTTATAAATACATTTTGAGATAATTTTTCTAATTATTCTTGTTTAACAATTTTACCAATTTGAATTTTTAAATCTGCTCAATAGTATGTCCCAGATCTTGTAACACCAGATAATAAATAGATACGTTTAGTAGAGATTTAAGAACATAATATTGTTGAGGTATAGTTGTTTATACTTTACTTAGAGAACCTTCGACTCTATATTAAGATCTATAACGCTATGCTCTCATGACGAAGATGGATAAAGCTACCTAAACTTGACTTCAAAGTTATATCCGGGTAAATATAATCAGTATTTAATTTAAAATATTACAAATATATTTAAGTTCTAATATGCATTCGTTCATTTTACTATCCTTAGTTTATTAAGATTTTTTGATTTACCGAGATCACTCTCATGAGATTTGATTATATTTTATATGAGGATTAGTCTATGAAATTGTCAGTCTGGGGATTTGAGAATTTCATAAAAATGATTAATCATTTAACTCAATTATAATATAAAAAATTTAATTCTTATGATCAATCGGAGAATTCTCAAGTCCTCAGACTCGGGATTATCTAAAGCGGGCATTAATTCATGATTTTTAATTTACAAATTTGTTAGTAATCAATTTAAAAACTCCTCATATCATTTATTACTTTGATAGGTAAGCCACGATTAGTATTAACCTTTCATTTTTAATCAACAAGACCAAATCTATATCTAAGTCTGGTGGTTCTTTACCTGAGTTTCAAGATCTACTATTTTTGCCACTTAAACGATCTAGGCAAGGAATATACTGGGTGTTTCACGTTTTTTTTTTTATAAGCAACCTTATAGAGATCATGATGATTATTTATGCAAAATATGCATATTTTGCACAAATAATCATTGTAATCTCTATAAGGTCATTTATAAAAAAATAGGACATGGTGATTTTTGAAATAACTGGTATAATAAATTTGAGGAATTTCCTAGCGATTATAATTCGGACACTCATTACTTAGCACTGCTGCCGATCTAGAGATCTTTTAACATTACACTTGGGCTTAATTTCAGATAATCTATATATTTCTTTTTCTTTTTTTTCTGTTTAGTACTTATACGCTTTTAATTAACATATTCAAAACTTCATTATGCTGATTATTACAGAGTTACTTCTATTTCTGGTCAGTTAAAACTCTTTAAGAGTATATTTGTTTATTTTGTTACATGATTTTTTTTATTTTTGTAGGGTTCAATAATCCTAAGTGTATCAATAGGAGTCAGAATCTTTTTCTTATGCCCTATTAATATTTGAATTATAATTATTTGGGTTTGAAACTTTGTTGAATTATCTTGAAGCACGAATAAATCTTCGTAGATACGTAGATATGTAATATAATATATAAATCCTTTATTTTTTTTTATTTTATATTTAGTATTAATTTTTTTTTTTTGCTACATCAGTATCAATCAAGTTTTTTCATTTCAATAAATACAGTAAGTAGATCTTATCAAATTCATGCTTATATGAATTTAACCTACACAATGCTCTTCAAATCACTTTATTAAGACCTATTTAGGCTCTCTTCTGTTCATGAAGTATTTTATCCATGACTTGAGAACTGTATATATTTTTACTGCAAACCTCTATAAGAGCATGCTCTTGGACCAAACTCTAATAACGTGCACTTAAGAGAACAATACAATTATGGAGATCGTGGGCCAGAATTTTAGAGCGTGTGCATTTATAGAAGGTGCATTCAGTATTGCATTGGACATGTGTTCAATAATTTTGAAAGAATTAAACATATATAATTTTATATATTCTAATGATTTTCAAAACTGTTAGGCTTAGACACATGTTCAATGCCAAAACTGGTGCACATATAGAGTTTTATACCTATTGTATACCAGGTTGGTGAAAAGTAACTAAACAGTGGCCTTTTATTAATCACTATGATTATCATTTTAACGTTTAGTAATCATTGCAATAAAGTTAAAAATTTTTAATTTATTGCAATGATTACTAAAAGTTAAAATGATAATCATAGTGATTAAAAAAAGGTAACTGTTCAGTTACTTTTCACCAACCCGATATAATTGGCCTTTTTGAGCACCTCATTCATTGACTAATGTAGGGCCGCTCAACGGACCTATTGAAATGTTTGATCATGTTCTTTATATGCAATTTACATGGTGAATTTACAAATAAGGGCCCAAAAAGTGAATTACAAATACGGGCCCAGATTAAAAATAATTATGTATAAGGGCCCAAAATAACTACGTGTTTGTAGCTTGATCGTTATTAGTATAAGAAACATAAATATCATATAAAGAAATTTTTTAATTTAATAAATTTAATTTTCTTTGTATGAAATTGTTTATTGTTATAATAAACCATTATGATGTCAAGTAAAACATTGTGAATTGGCATGTTATTTACTAATATGGATGATCGTTCAGCTTCACCTTATGAGTATTGTGCTAGTTTAATGCAATATTTAAGCAAATACAATTATAACTAGCACTTTATTTATCTTTTATCTAATAATCAGTATATAGATAACTCTAAATAATAAAATAATCGATAATCCAATAATCACGATTTTGCTATCGTTATAGGCCTGAGATCCATTTTTTTTAGCAATAAATAGATTTGCTTTAAATGAAGAAAAGTTCTCAGTAGTTTAATGAACAACTTCCAGTTAACTCAGTTAATTAGCTGTAACTTAGTTGACCCGGTTGACTCGAATAACTTGGTTGGCCCGGTTGATCCGAATAACTCAGTTGACCTGACTAATTCGGTTGACCCAGCTAATTTGGTTAACCCGGGTCAACTGAATTATTTGGGTCAACTGAGTTAACTGAGTCAACCGATCTAACCGAAGCAATACGGTTAACCTGATTATATCTGGGTAATTTAACTCGGTTAACCGATTAGGAATTTTTTACCTGGTTCAAATCATTAATCTAAACATGTAAGTAATAGAATGACAAAGTTTAACAATAATTTTTTTTTCTTTTTTTTTTTTTTTGTAAAAGAGGTCATTTTCTCATTCCTTTAATTTATGTTAATATATAATTTACAATTTCTTATAAATGATACATTGATCTTTTGTGGAAGGGGGAATAGAGCTAAAGCTATGCTAATTTACTCCAGACCTAA